TCCCGCTCCAGTTCTGAGAGCATGTTGTTCCGCTCGATATAGAGTCTTTGATTCGCAAGTCGTTGCTCGTTGATATTCAGCTCTGAGTAAGATTGATTCCAGAGCTCGAGCATTTTCTTCCGGTACGCTCCTGGCGCATCGGATCGTGCTTGATAGTAAACCCGCATGACGTCAATATTCATGGATTTTGTCCACTTCATACGTTTCCGTGCGGGGGGCATATTTTCTGTAGCAGAGGAGGGTCGACTGTCAACCCCGGCCCCTGGGACAGAGCTTTCACCAGTAGCCCTTACTCCCACTTCTGCCTGGTGAGGAACAGGAGCGTGAGAGCCTCCGGACGCCAACTTTTCACTGACTGCACCGGGAGACCTGCAGCCAGCGCGGCCCTTTTTATCCTTTTTTATTTATATATATATATATAACATACACATACATATAACATACATATATATAACACACACATATATATATATATATGTGTGTGTGTGTGATGTACGTGTGACGTTCCCCCTCATTGAAAATGAATTGGGAATACCTTGAGAACGAAAACCCTGGTTTACAGGACAGCTTTCCTATAAATAGTTACCCAGTTGTAAACACGAGCGAAAGCTCTTGTCAGGTTTCCAATCGGTCCCCCTTGAACCCATGGACGCTGGTTTTACCTTGGTGTGTGCTTGTACAGTTTTGAGCCTGAGAAAACGGGTAAACCGGAAATTGAGCAGTGGTCCCACTTCCAGGAAGTCGGATCTCACAGGATCCGAGATCTCGAGGTAAGCTTGGACTCCAATTCGCCATGAGACCGGATAACTAGCCGATGGCTGCTTCTAGAAGTCATTCGAGACTCCTGACGAACGGAAGCAGCGGCTTCGTCTGCCTTTGGTGATGCCATGGCGAACGGCGAAATATCGTGCTCTCCGGGTGCCTCAATAGTGCAATATTGGGCCGATATTGTTCCACTTCACTGTTACCGGAGTTGAGGAACGGGAGAAACTAGAACTCGCGAGATTTCACGGCCGTTCATGCAGTTCTGCGATTCATCCCAGCAGTTCCAAACGTAAGAGCCCGACGAGGTTCCTCCGACTCTCCCCGAAGCCCGGAAAGACCACGAAGTTAATTGGCCGCGATCGAAGTGTTCTTCACAACGTGGGCCGCATTCTGCGAAGTGCTCTCGAGGGACCATTTTCAAAGAGTCTCTCTCCTCGCATCCGCCTGCACTATTAATACATTTCTGCGCCAGAAGTACATAACACGGGCCCATTTTCATCAAAACGGCTCATTGCCTATTCCTGGAAACTATTCCACTAATAAGGC